TACAGATGCAGAAAGACAGGCAAGAGTGGTGTCTCAACTGGAACTCTCTTTTCTCTTTTTTACTTGCTTAACTCACTGTAATGGCTAGCCTAAAAAAAGAGGCCTTATGAGACCAGGAAACCATATTGTGATAGAAACTGATTTCTTAAGTGCCATTTAATCCCTGTTTAAAAATAAATAAATGTAAAAAAATGCTTAATTCACACTTCCTTTTGGCTCAGCTGGGAGCCTTGGGAAATACAAAATAACATATTTGTTCCTATGCTGGGCATGGAAGCTCAAAACAGTTAGTGTGTGATGATTGCTCACTAAGGGTCTGTAGAAGCAAACAACAGCATGTAGCTTCCACAAAAATACATTTTACAAGTAATTCTGCACATTACACAAGTTCCTATGAAAGAAAATGTCTTTTCAGCCAGGTATATGTGCTAGTTATCTTCCATAGGTACCAGTAAAGTGTCTAGGAAAAGCAGCTTCAGTAGTCTTGTCTCACATGGTTATAGTTGTGAGGTTTAGCAAAGTTAACTGATTTAGCTGTACATTTAGTAGCTTTAATCTAAGGAACCGGGGTTGTAACAAGCCTTGGCAGCTTTGTTACTATTGATCTTCTTGTGGAAGCTTTAAAAGTTTTCCCCTCTCAAACAATTACATTAGCACCTATTCAAGAAAGCACTGGTTGTTTGCCTCAGCAATTAGTAACAAGAAAAAGACTTTTTTTTTTTTTTTTAAAGGAAATAGATTTTTGTGTAACAAAGTATTGAAAGAAAAAGAAATTGTTTGTTTTTTTAAAGAAATGCAGTTTTGTGATGTTTGTATTCAAATCATTGTCAAAGTTACTATGGTGATTTCAAAACTAGGATTTAAGAGCTATTAGTAAAGGACTGCATTTACTTGGTACTTGGGTTGCTTTAAACAAGGCTTTAATAAAATATATTGCAATTTCTCCAGTCCTATTGAAGGATCTGAACACTGAGGATGGCTGGATCGATATTGTGGAACATAGGCAGAAGTAATAGTCAAAAAATAATTAAACTTGACAGCCAAAGTAGATGTTTTCATTTGAAAAAGACACATTTTTGTCACAAGGAGGTGTCTTGTCAATAAGTTTTTCGTCAGAACTGTTTATCATTTCTTTGGTTTGCTGTCTGGATGATTAATTCAGTAGTGCTGGCATAATGTTTTGTTTTCTGTCAAATACTACAGATGAAGAGAAAGAAATTCTAGATGTCCAATGAAACCTAATTGTAAAGCATTTTCTAAATTCTGGAAAGTAAATTTTTAGTTGAGGCCAAGATTTCAGTTAATATTTTTACAAAATGTACGTTTCACATTCTTAGAGGTTGGGAAGATAATATTGTTTTAAAAATGAAAACATTCATTTAAGCTGTGTTTCATTTGATCACAAAAGGAGAAGCAGACTTTTAAAAATGTATAAAGTTTATTCAAGAACTCAGTTTTCAGTTAATACTTGCAATTTCTTTTTGCATAAAGCTATATAATGATAGACAAATGTCAATACTAAAGGACTGTGAAATGGAAACAAAGAGGGTTGTGTTTGGGCCATCACCAATAAAGTTTTACTACCATTTTGATATTTGTGTAACAATCCCAACCAGGTACAAAAACTGCTTTAAATAATTATTTTTGAGGGAAAAAATATGCAAACTATACAGTTCACTATACTGGGTAGTGGTTTGTTTTTTTTTTTTTCTCCATTTGGATAGCATTTTTGAAAATAAACTGGAAAAGTGCATACTCTCACTTTTCTGTGCCATAATTTTCTGTTAATCTGTAACTATTTACTGAAGTTTGATTCAATTAAAAACAATAATTTTGAAGTATTAAAGACAGATGGAAAAACATTCACATGGAGATATGAGAAATAATAATTTAGTGATGTATGAAATATATTGAGATTAACAAATCAGATTAGAGCATCAGCTGATTACACTGTGGTAATTTTAGCATAAATTTAGTTTCTCCACTAACCACAACTAAAAATAAATAAAAAAAAAATCCCCCAAATATTCTTCAGTGATGAGAAGTTGCCATCCCTGCTTCAAAAAACCTGCACAATTTACATAATGCAACTATATTTTCTTTCAATGTCAATTTTGTAGCATAATGAAAAGAAGAATTAAATTTAAACAATGAAGGGGGGCAAGTTGTGATTTGGATGATGGCAGAGCTGAGGATACAGCAGACCTGTTTAGTTTTCAGTACGACTCAGAATTTCACCTGTGAAAGGATTATCTCCACAAGAAAGGTAGTATTTGTTGCAATGTCTAAATGAGGTGCCATAATCCTTAGTAGTGTTACTAGCCAGGGAACTGCACCCTGATTTTGCTAACTGTCTGCCACAGCTTTGTAAAAATGTTAACTAAACCAGATCAACTTCAATACAAGAAGTTACAACAGAAGTGCCTTCCAAATACCCAGTAGTTTAAGCGTTAGGTTCCTCTTGTGATATATGGAAAACCTGGATTCAATCCCTTGCTTTGTATTAACTGGCAAATCACATTTGAAAATGTGCCTCCAAAACAAAAGCTTAAAACGTTTAATTTAAGATGCTATGTTTCCACTGCCAGCGGAATAGGCAGATTGTAACTAACGTACTTATTTACTGTGCTAACATTTAGGGATTAGATTAGCTGAATGAGTAGTTTGGTACCACATGGAAGTGGACATATGTTCCTTGATGTCAGAAACATACGTATGATGACAATTCAAATGCCTTTGAAACTAGATAGTGGCCGAATTCTCTAAGGACTTGAAGTTCCGGTTTTGCTGTTGTACTACATCTGTAAAAGACTGTTACTCCAGGTTACTTGTGGCACATTGACACATGCAATGGAATTTGCTGTCCTTTATTTTAATATTCATACTTCCTATCCAATGAATAAACTAAGTCTGCTCATAATTTGGTTTCCAAACCTTGCACATGGAGTTGTAACCACCTAAACTGACTTTAAAGGAATGATGAAGACAGGATTCTGTTAAAGCCTGCTTCAGCTGAGGGCTAAGTTGTAGAGAGAGATATATAGTTGAGACATACAGAGAGACATAGTTGAGAGATACAGTTGTAGAGATACACAGTCTTCTCTTTAGGGCCAATGGCCCTGGACTCAGTCCTGAAGGTAGATGTCTAAGCCCAGGAAAAGGGAACTTCAGAAAAAGAAGCTGTATGGGTTCCTACTTCTTCCTTGGGCAATGTGTTAGCAATCAGAACACTCTCCAAATAACATGGGAGACCTTGATTCACTTGGCTCCTTTGCCTGACGCTCAGTTTATGCATGTCTCCTACTCTTCCTATGGAAACTTTTCTAGTTTGCATTAATTTCTGAGGGCTCCACCCTGCTAATGAAGGGCAATTTCAGTATTGTACATTATTCTCGTTGGATAATTACAAAAGTGGCCCTTGGGGCAGGGACTGCCCAGCGCTTTACCACAATAATAGTGGATTCTGTTAACTGGGAGCTTTCTAAACTCAGTCTTCTGTGAGTATCTGTGATCAAAATTGAGTGGGGGGCTTCTTCACTTGTCCACCAGAGCTGAAGTAACAGGTTTAAAAAAGGCATAGTCTTAGTCATTTTTTTGTTCTGATTCTCCTGCTTTAAGGATGATGGTTCTTTTCTCTAAAGGATGGACATTCTGTGGTTTAATAATGATTACAGGTTACAATCTTTCTGTAAATAGTCACCAAGGCACTATGTGATAGCAGCTCCTACCTGGGTAATAAGATCATCAAATATATACAAAACAGCATCAAAGGAGTTAAAAATCCATGAGGTTTAAACAATAGACTATTAAATACAAATCCTGCTACCCTGAGGTGTGCAAACAATTTATTTAGTGCAACACTGTACAGGGGAATGGGTCTGCAGTTGTGTTTCTCTACAAGGTCAATAAATGGTTTTTCAACTCTGGTGAGCATTTACTTTGTATCCAAAGTCTTAATGTAAAAAATAATGAAGAGTAGTTTTACTTTCTCCATTTGTGATGGAGTTGCACTCTGACAGTATCAGAAATATCAGTCGACAGCTGCAGATGGAAATGAAATAGACCTCTTAATTGAATCCTGTGGGCTGCAAAAAAGATTTTTTTTCCCACCGCCCAAACAGTTCCTTGTGTCAGACAATCTGGAGCCACATTAAAGATATTTTTCTTTTTACTAGTCCAGCTGGCAGACAAATTGCCTTGTTGAATTAGCATGTCCTAAAATATAAAAGGGTTTAAATGAGTACAGTGGTACAGGCAGTACAACAAACTATTGCTATTATAAAATATACTAACATATTTCTCTGTTGTGTAGTGAACAGATTTGAGACACAGAGAGGTGTAAATGACTCCTGGAGCTTTTTGTATTAGTTGTTTTTATATGAATCTCAATAATAAGCAAATCATGATATATGTTGCCAAATTAAAATAGAAAGCTATTAGCAAATCAACACCTTTTACACAGAACTTATATAAATACCACATTTTTCATATCTTGTGTTATTGCAACAACAAAATTGCATAGACCATTTACCGGCACTTTCTGAATTCCCTAAACAATGCTTTGTCTTAACAAATAGTTCAACTAGTTCCCTCAATTTAATTTCACCCACTAATGCACTAAGTGTTTACATGTAGTGAGAGAAAAAAACCATGGAGCTCAAAAACATTAACAATGACATAATCATCTGACTGAATAATAGTTCAGCAAGGAAACGCATTCCTTTTATTTATTTTTTTTATGCTCTCTGTAAGGCTGTTTTCAAAGTGTTACTGACAGAAGATACCATTTGATTCAAGTCATTCTTCTGAAGTTGAAATGTAATTTGTGCTCTTCTTCCCCTTTCACCCTGTTGTCCAGAATTGTAGATACAATCTGTATCCTGTTTCCTAAAGTGAAGTACTTTATTTTTAAAATTCTGAAAAATCTGCTTTTGATAATGCTTTTTAGCAGTAATATAAAACCCAGACTAGCAAGGGGGTGTGCAGCCTTTTCTGGTGCCTCACTGGCAGACACGGCTGTATTCTTGGCAAGTGGAGCCCACGCCAGCCACAGACAAGTAGAGCTTTCCGTCTGGACACACGCAGATTTCATAAAGCCCCTGAGAAATACCGGATCCACCCCTTGTACCCTCAGGCAATCTGGGCAGTCGCACAGTTTCAGCATCAAGCAAAAGCTGCATGGGAGAAAGCAGGAAAAAAGGGCTTGTTAGAGATAATAAAGCAATAGTGTCCCATGAAACAACTTGACTTTGCCGAGGCAGAGGTTTAATAGCCTTCTACCCAGTCTTGTTATGTATACAAAGCCGCTCTTAGGCCTGGGCTCTTGACAGACACTGGAACAGGGGAGAGGGATAAGCTGCCTATCCTCTTCCTCAGCAGAGGAAGAGTCAATTGGTCATATTATTTAATCTGACCCATAAATGAAAGTCTTATTATTAACACTATTAATTTTAATATCCTGTCTCCTAAAATCTAAGGAATTAAATTAACAGAACTTGAAAAAAAGACCTGAAGTTTAGTTACACTCAGACAGCAAGATCAACCATAGTGGTAGAAACAGAAGGGCTTGTACTCACCACACCATCACTGCTGTGTAGTTTGATATCCATCTGGGAAAGCGCTTCAATATTCCCAGCTGGCGCTTTGATATTAACTCCTCGTGGTGCATCCATGCTCAAAGATCGAGTTGGTGATTCCAGCCTGAAAGCAGGAGCAGGAAATCTGACAGTAGCACATTCTCATCTGTTTCTTTATTTTTAAAAAATAAGTAACCTTGAACAAGGATCTCGCCTGAAGTCACATAAAAGATGCAGCTGCTTTTTTCTTCAGGCAGACTTGAAAAAGGAGGTATCCCAAAGGAAAAATAGAGATGAATTCATAATACAAATGCAAGGTATTATTTCAGAGATAGCTTCAGATTATTTCAGTTTAACAGTAATTTATTCTTTCAAACTGAAACCTATTTTTACATTATTTAGTTTGAATTTATTTTCATTTTTTTACATAATAAGATATTGAAATTAATACAATTAGTACAGTCTGGAAGATTTTTAATCAACAAGAGTTTTTACACTATCAGTCAGACCAAGATTTCACTCAATGTGCATGTGTGTTGTTTAACTAGATGGCATTTGAAACTTAAAACAAAATGACTTTGAAATAAAAATTATGCAATATAACAGAAAGGTGCAAACCCTACAGTGCCACAAGATGGCAGGAAGGTACCGTGTTAGCTGAGTAATCACCTCGTAGGGTCAGCTGTGCAGGAATAATTATTTTTATTTTCCAAAGAGATAAGGCCTTGCTTCCTCAGAATTTTGGTATCATTTCCACGATAAGTAGCAGAGACTGAAGTACTAATTAAAAAATTATGAGTAGGAAAGAAAAAATTCAAGCTCAGCAACAAGCTAGTGATTATATTGCTTCTTTTGACCATTACCTAGAACTGCTTCGTCTGCAGGCACTGGGAACACCGCTGGATCAGAGTTGATAGCTACTGGGTTTTGTTCTTGTATATTGGCTCACCCTTCCCAATGACACCAGCATAAATTTTACACTATTATCAGCCAACATTAAACAGGTGAATTAAGGCTAGAGAAAATCAATCAAATGGTGTAACATCCATGTTACCTTCTCTATTCTGTACATTCCCTGGACATATAAAATAATGCGGGCTTCATCTATAATGCAGAAGGCAGACATGTGTCCCCATTCCCAGGTCTGCATGCGCTCACCCCATGTCTTTTGGTAACATGGTGGTGGGGGGAAGGTGCGTGTGTGTGTGTGTGCAGGTGTCTGTGCACACACTCCCAGCCAATGCTGTGTTGGCTCCACGCGTCCTCAACAGCTGCCGATCTGGGCGAGTGGAGGGCTGTACCCCAGTGGGTCCTTCACTAGGTATGCATCAGATAGTGAGTCTTGATGTTGACTGCTGATCACATGCTAAAGGAATGAAATTATTTCACACACAGTCCTGATGTAGCTGTCTGATGGGTTTAATTTACTCAGACTGCTGCAGTTCTTCCTTTTTTTGCAGTTACTTCATTAAAACTAGGATTTAAAATAAGTTTGTGCTTGTCAGAAACTTCAGTTATATCTTAGAGTTCTGAAGATGCTAAATCCAGCTGATATCTTAAAACCTAAACCCATGATATCTGAGCACAGTCAAGCACAGTCAATGAAACTCCATTTTTTAGCCACAAATCTGAAAATAACTCAGTCAATATTGGCTTATCACTGCTGACCAGAGAAGATTCTATCTTCTTTGATCTTCAAAGATTCCTTCCAACCCAAACCATTCTATGACTCGTTTCTATGATCTGCCTCATCCTGACATCTCCTGGGTTAGTCACCTTCAACTAGTTTAAACTCCAGACTGATAATTTACACTCCTAACAATGGATAACTGCATCATGGTTCCATATTAGGACCAATGCATAAAATAGTTTAATGCTTTATCCCATGATTCTGATATGGCACAAACTTCAGTCATGACCATGCTGAGTAAAAGGGCACAAGTAGGAGTCTGTTCTGCATCAGACATCCAATGTAGTATTAGTAATCTTTATTAAGCAGTGTTTGTGATTTAACAACATTTCTATGACTTTTTGCTTTAGATTTACACATTCATGAAATGTGGAATCAGTTTTTCTCTGAGTGATTTACATGGGGGGTCTGCTTCATGGGAATATTTTTCAATGCATGTTTGTATGTATTATATAATGAAAAATAATTCAAAGTTTGTATTTTCAATATTTAATATTCAATGTTTTCATAAGTCAGTGTTAAGGTAGTTGAATACAACTGTTGCTACAGTCTGTCTTAGCAAAAAGCTGTAACCATGGAAATAGCTTCACCTATGTAAGTAATCCATACATGGGCATAAAATTTTATTTTTAAGCTTTACTGAATATTACAAGAAGGCAGACTGGGGCAGATTTTTGAAGAGTATATCAGACCTGGAGTTCGAAAAGCAATCAAACACTGAAGAATTATTTCTTACTTTCTACCAAAATTAATGCTGGCAAGAAGCCTACAGACTTCAGAAGCATTTACGGATTTATGATATGACTTACATATAATTTAAATTACATGTCAGAATTACATTTACTATATTAATCACAATCCTAAGTTTCTGCTGTTTATACAGGTTCTATTTCTAGATTAACTACGGGTGGATTTATCTAATTAAGTCACTGGAGCTTCCTGGCAATAGAAACTGAAGTGAAGCTTAAGCAGTAATTTTAAAGCCTTCTGGAACTATTATGTGTGAGATTTTAGCGAAGTATTACAAAAAATTCTTAAAGACCAATGATGTATTTCTTCATACAGCATTCAAAGGTTCAGTGCTTCAAGTCCAGATGTACTAAAAAAGAAACAGGCACCTACTGTAGAAATTATGTGACTGAGTTGAACCTTGACTTTGAATGTCACTTCTCAGTCCCCACTTGGTCCTGAAGACATGTGACTTCCTCAGCCCCTTAAACATTGACCTTAAAGTCACCTAAAATTCTTCAGTGGTCCTGGCCCTGAGGTACTTCCACTTTGTCACTTGTGGGCAGGTTTGGACTTCTCCTGTATGCTTAAGGGTCTGGGGACCACAGACCTGCCATAGCAGAAGAGCAGACTGATGGAGATACTTGTATGAACTCAGGGTGCCTTGGAAAGATATGAATAGAGCACTGCAATTATCAGCACTGGTGGTGTTTTAAATAGACATTTATAAAGCAAAATGCACTTTTTTTTAATCAGTGACCAGTGGATCTACTTAAAATATATAATGGGAGAAAGTTGCTCTGCACTGCAAATGATTTGGGTCAGTCAGCAAGAGGATAATGGAATCATGGAATCATAAAATCACAGAATGGTTTGGCTTGGAAGGGGCCTTTAAAGGTCATTTAGTCCAACCCCCCTGCAGTGAGCAGGGACATCTTCAACTAGATCAGGTTGCTCAGGGCCCCATCCAACCTGACCTTGAATATTTCCAGGGATGGGGCTTCTACCACCTCTCTGGGCAACCTGTGCCAGTGTTTCACCACCCTCATTGTAAAAAATGTCTTCCTTCCGTCTAAATCTGCCCTCTTTCAGTTTAAAACCACTGCCCCTTGTCCTATCACTACAGGCCTTGCTAAAAAGTCTGTCGTCATCTTTCTTATAGGTCCCCTTGAAGTACTGAAAGGCATCTCCAGCCTGAACAATCCCAATTCTCTCAGCCCTTCTTCATAGGAGAGGTGCTCCAGCCCTCTGATCATTTTTGTGGCCCTCCTTTGGACCTGCTCCAAACAGGTCCATGTCTTTCTTGTACTGAGGACTCCAGATCTGGATGCAGTACTCCAGGGGGGGTCTCACCAGGGCATGACTGTGTGCAGACAATGGCTGATAAGAAAGTTTCAAGATCTGTTCCCTAGGCAATAAACGGAGGCAGTGAGTAGACCAGGCTGAGCAAAACATTGATGTGCACTCCTCAGAAGTCTTGGCAAAACAAGAATTCAATGTGCTTGCAAATGCTGGAGGGCGCTTGAGGACTCAGAGTAAAAAAGTTGTCTTAAGAGTTTTTGGTAGTTTTATAGTGTTTGCTTGAATTTGGGCAGTAGAATGACGAGGGAATATATTGTTACCAGTCACTTTATCTTTTTTTAAAAAATTACAGGCATATAAATTACCTTTAACAGAATGGAGTGACGATCTTTATCATCTAGAGGAATTAATCTATGTAATGTGCTGTCCTAAATGAGACATCTGTCACAGCCTGTATCTCATTTCAGAAGATGGATTCTGTACTTATGAGTAGCTTCTAGGTACTGTGGTAGCTGCCAGAGGTCTATTAGCAAGTGGTGTGGTACAAGAGGAATTGATCAGGATGGCACAACGTTTGATGGCAAGGACTTGACACTCCCCTTATATGTGTACTGAGGAGTACTCTGGACTAGCTGTTGCCTGACCCCGGAGACTCGATGCCCAGAAAGGTTGGAACACGTTAGGCATTCTCCAAGAGAGCATAGCTTTCAGGTTAATTTAATCCAAATGTCATCCTGTTCATGTACTTCAAACAGTTCCACAAAGAGAACCAAGATGTGAGGAGCTCAGGCAGCTGGGATATTTCCCTCAAAAGCCCATTCCAGATTTTAATGAAAACACGTATGTAGACATATCCAGGAAATGTGAAGCAATGGAAACCACATCTAGGCCCACTTGCAGAGTAGGTATTTTGCCTTGCTTTCCTTCACCCTGATCACACTCCAGCCACCTGGAGGTTTGTTGGCAAAGTGCAGGGAAACTGGACAGTGCAAGCTAATGAAAAGCAGGGAAAGCTGGGGGAGTAAGCGGTCCCTGATAATATTCATAGCTCTGTCATCTGCTGGATATCAATCCTCCAGCAGTCTATTGCAAATAAAGCAACCAATTATAGGGAAGATAATATTTTTATCCCTGTCTTCTTCCTTGTTGGTAAGATAGTTCCAGAAGTCAACTATACTTTCTTGGCTGGCCGACAAGGAAATTTGGTGCTGAGGTGTGCAGAATAATTCATGAAGGACTGTGTGAAAGTCTTCTGAGGGAACCTGGACAGCATCCAGGCTCTGGATCTGAAACCATCCCAACAACCTAAAGGCTTGGAGATTCTCACCTTATGTTGCTAACTCATGGAGACACCAGCCTGCTATGGTTGTGGTAAAGAAGCAGCTGATACTGCCTGTGCATGCTGCAGGAATATCGATCTATTCTTTCATCCTGTTCTGGCAGGAGATGGAAGGATACCTTCCTCATCTTTAAGTACCACAGTGCATTAGGAAGCTGGTTTTAGTAGTGCAGAAAGAATACCGCAGTCTTCTGGAGCCCCAGTTTCCTACCACAATGTGTGGTTGCTTGACTTAGAGCAGGACAGAGGAACCAGCTTGCTCTTGTGAACTTGGGGAATAGTTCATTCCCTCCTTCTGGCTACTTTTGTCCTTTTCATCTTATGAGTCAGCATCTCTCCCGAATTCAATGGGGACAGAATTCCTTGGTATGACTTTAGACAAAAGTTCCCCACATGTATGCATTCCTCCCAGCACCTACCTGAGGAAGACCAGGGTTTCTGTAAGTGGACTGGATAGGTAGATGGACACTGTCTCTCAAATTGCGGTGTACCCAACAACTGGTGCGCCCATACGTACATACAGCTAACTCCTTTTTTTCCCCCCCTTACTTTTTGGTTAGCCTGATCAATGTTACCATGCAGAAAAGATTTTATGAAATGTAAACCTGGCTCTAAAGTGTTAAAGGTATGGTACAGAATTTAGCAGTGTATGGTGTATTAAGTATTTGAGTTAAGTATGTTCTTACATCAGTAAAAGAGAAACACCTATGTATTTTAGCCCAGACTCAGCTTTAATTTTTTTTTTTTAAAAAAGGGCCCTTGTACACAGGAGAAAATAAAATGTCAAATATACTGGACTTGATTTATTTTACTTCATATCAGATTATTTCACGTGTTTATAGCAAGTTTGTTTAGATAATTAATAAGATATTGCTCTGGTGTTCACCTCTATGGTGAGGTTTTTTTGGGGGGGTAGCCCTTTTAAACACTGAAAACATGAGGTGGGTCCAGACAGAACCTAAATGTTGGCTACTTCATAATCCCTTTTCATTAAAAGTTTTTCACAACGCTTTCTGGTACTGATTTTTGTGAGAGTTCATAAAACATACTAATCCATCATTACTTGTTCTCTAATATGCTCAGTCTTCCT